ATGGCAAAGCACACTAGGGCTATCTGCCTAAGAGGAGGGATGTCTTCGTGGAGGACTTTCTAAGGGAAACTGGCTCGTATACATGTTACACATGGGGAAAACCCCGAAAACGCCCATGCAGCCAGCCCGTTCGCGGGATTCGAACCTCGGACCGAACTACCAGTGTTCAGCGACTTTACCGCTCGGCCGCTGGTGGGCGTTGAGGTTGTTGCCGTCAGAAGATATTAGTGTTATTCTCGGGATAAATACTGTGTATCCTTTGTCCTTTCCAATCATAAGTACGGCTTTGATGATGTTATTCGATAGCTGTTTTGCTGACTATTCTTGTTCCATTATATAGTGTGGCTGAGTTGAGATTTCTGAGTAGTATCTCGGAGATCCAATTTTCAATCGAAGGCAGTGTAATGACATTCCTGGTACTTGCAACGAGTTTAAAAGTTCTGTAGAGAAGTTAACACCTTTTTCAAAGTTTACCGTCGTGTCAATCGACTTGTATATTATTTCTTCACCGGGAATTTTCTTTTGAATATGAAAGTCGATATCGTCGACAATAGTATTTTTAGTTGCCAAAACTGTCTTTTGAAATAGCCACTCCGGATTGGTATAGTTGTGACACAATGCTCGGTAAATGTCGTCGATGAGTTCGTTTTCAGTTGTGGCTATGTAGCAGAAATCACTTTTCAGTTCAACGAGGTGAGTCGTCTGCACTTAACAGATTATAAACTCACTGCTGCTCACACTGTTCACTCACTGCACCTCACTGATAAGAAACTGACGCTCGAACCGACGACGGATCTTGCTTACCAATGGGTAGTCCCACTTATACGAAAAAGGCTTCGAATGCTCCACAATTTTCCAGAACATTCCACAATATTTGAGTATGTTCTGGAATGTTCCACAATGATCTGGAATGCTCTCGAATGTTTCAGATGATTTTCGAACATTCCACAACATTCCAGAATGCTCCGGGATGTTCTGGAATGCTGGGGAATTCTCTCGAATATTCTGGACTGTTCTAGAAATTTCTAGAGGGCAAAACTTAGGCCCTTATATATTCAAAGGCACGCCTTTCAGGTGAAAACGGGAACTTTCGTCATGGATGAGGCATAAAGGGTTACCAAAATATATATCTCCCTTGATCGTACCGGAACTCATTTCTTAGTTTTAGCGGCACGCATATTGTACACTGACGTTTATAATATACATTGATTATATACATCAGCATGTTTCATAAAATAAGAATAAGTCGTAAAAGTTATTATTAATGCAAAACTGTCAGCTACATCGCAAAATGTGTGAAGAATATATCGAAACTGAATGGTATCAAATTGAACATCATTTCTGTTTCATCAAGTCGTATTCTATTTTGTAGTAAAATTTCATGTACCATCATTTTTATGTATGAATTCCTATCTATTCCCTTAAATGTAAAATTAGACTAAATTAACTTAATTAAGGATGGTTTTAAAGACAAATTGTGAGTATTACAAAGAAAATAAGTACAGAGTCCTTCATCTTTAACAAGCAAGATATTCTGCGCCCTAAACTGAAGTACAATATTAATTAAGTGACACAAAATAAATAAATAATAAAAGGCTAAGAAGTAGAATTTATTGGCATGTATCTAAAAAAATAGAACAAAAAGGACTGAAATGTCTTTAAGCAGTCTGATAAAATCTAAATTGCAATTAAAATCCTTAACTAAACTTCTACATTTTATCTGCCTTAAAAGAGATCTAATTTCCCAATGGAAATGTTTTCCGATATAAGAATAAGTATAATAAAAAATTTAAAAGAATTATTAAGAGACTAATAACGTTTCTCTAGTAAAATTGGCATTTTAATTGCTATTTTAGTACTGATCATGTACGCAGCTTCTCCTTCTACAAAGAATGTTGCAGATATCTCTTTTCTGTATGAACTGAAGTCTGTATTATGGCCATTAGGTAAACAGAGACATTCCTTGAAGGTTCAGTATCTTTAAATCTTCCTCCTTTTAGAAATTTAAGCTTCAGCAATTACCTCAAATTGCATGGCATTTTCATGCACAACAGAAAATTGTAGGCCGAACTACAGCCATTTCATATTTTCTACATGCAACTTAACTTAAGGGGACTCATACACCTTAAACCCCTTATGATCTTCGAATATGTGACTGTTGCAAGAATTGGAATATTTTATTTATTTTAATAGTAATTACTTCCAATTTTTTACAGCTGACTACATAATATAGCTGCTTTCGAAACTAGTAACCAGATAGTTTGTGTTGCCACAAAATATTTTTGTAATTTAATCCGCTTTGTGACAAAATATTTCGTCATGTTTCCACCTTGCGCGCATGATATTTTAAAAATGGCTAATGGTACGGGTTTGAAATTTCATGGAATTCTTTATATGGGCACTATTTTCTAAGTGAACCAAAAATTTGATGAATATTTTAGTATTAAAAAATTTATGCACGAAAACATTACAGATTTTGTTACTAAAATACATTTTATAAACTTAACTCCAAATAAAATAAAAATTTAACATGAAATTCTTAGAATTTTAGGTTCACAGTAGTTTACAAATGTTATAAAAGCTATATATTAAATATGGAATTAAAGTATGCAACAGAATGTTTTAAACTGTGCGCGCAAGGTGGAAACTTGACGAAACATTTTGTCAAAAAGCGGATTAAATTATAAAAATATTTGTGGCAACACAAACTTTTTGATGACTATTTCAGAAAGCAGCTATATTATGTAGTCAGTTGTAAAATTTATAAGTAATATCTTTTAAAATAAATAAGTTATCCCAATTCTTGCAACAGTCACATATTCGAAGATCTTATGAATTTTAAGGTGTATGAGTCCCCTTAAGCCATATTGGTAGCAGCTTATAGAACGGCCGTAAGCTACGTTTTATTCCGAAATCATGAAACTTAATATATCCAAAACAATTCCCTTTCACTTGCATTATAATATATTTTACGACTCTTTCCAGTAAAATTGTATACTTGTACAAGAAACTTCATAAGCTTGTTTCGGAGTTGTTACTACACTGGGTACGTTAAGTAACCAGTGTAGGATATAACAAACTCGGGCACTTGGAGGTATATTTACGATTCAAACGCGCGCATAAAATATAAAAAAAACCAGCATTTTTATAGTAAAAGCCCTGGAATGAAATACGTGCTTGCTATGGAAACACTCTTGCTTCTAGGAAGAAGATAAAGTGATTTCTGTGTTCATAAAACATGGCTGCTCAAGACACATTCGTCATAAAGTTTCATAGGAGGGTTTTTACTCCTTGTTTCTCTCTCTTCTCTAGCTTATAGGTCGTACATCAAGTTCTTGAAACTCTAAAAAAAGATGCATACATTTTCTCCCGGTACATTTCAAGAGTTTGTATATTTTCTTCACATGAAGGAGGAGGGTTGGCCTTTGCCGGAGATATGAGCAACTCTACTTGCCGGGCGAGCAGCAGTCAATGTATTTTCTTTCAAATATTAAAGAGCATTCCGAAAGAAAAGATTTGCATATGTACATATTTTAAGAAAAGTTTGACACATATTTGGTCTTCAGCTGTAAACCTTTTGGTATGAAGATTAACGGCAACTTTTGCATTCGTTGCAACTTTTCCCTTTCATTTTTTATACAGCACTTGAAATATATATTACGATATTTTATTCTAAGAAATATAAGAAGGTTTCGAATATAAAATTGTCTATATTTGTAAAATATCTCTTGCGTTATGTAGTTTATGTAACGTATCGATACTATAAAAATCTACGCGCATCTATTTGTTTGTGGCACTATCTCCTTCGGAACGGCAAGGAGCTGAGTTTCGAGAAAGGTATTCTCGGATTCCAAAAATTCGTAGGAAGCTATTTCGACCCTTCTCATCTTCGTACGACTTTAATCAGCTGATATACTAATTAAAAACTCAGAAACTTCTAATTTTCGCACTCATTTTTCCGAGTGGCAACAGTCTCGCACGCTAGAGCTAAAAATCTGCTTTATTTCGAAAAGTGTTGCCACTGCTCGCTTTCAAATCGTAGAGTTTGTTAATAAAACATTTGTAAGTTTTACAAAATATGAAATGATAATAGTATTACCAAACATTAAATATATTATTATTATATAAGGCCATGCTTTGACGTTGAAGAAAGCACGCGATTTCATGTAACGTCATTGTATGTCGAAAATGTTTCGCTAATGCCAGCATTTTAAATAAACAGCTGCTGTTTGCATGTTTTTTGTTTCAGGCTGATACGGTGTGTTATTGTTATGTTGATTCTTTTATTGATATTAAGAAAAATTTTATATATTACATTAAATTTAAATCAAGACATCATACGTATACGTATTAACCTGAAGTGTCCAAAGATTTTATTTCCTGGTTTGGCTATACAAAAATATTTACGAATTGATTGTTGCTTGAAAATAATGAACTGATTTCATTCAAGTTGAAATGTTTTTATACACTTCCTTTTCAGGTATACATAGAAACCATAAATTTTGTTTTAGTCGCAGCTAGCAACTTTGTATACAGTACATTAAATGAACAGTTCATTTCGTTTTCAGCTTTTATTATTATCATTTATTTTCAGTTTTATTATTTCAGTTTATTACTGTTATCTGTGATATATATCAACATCTCTGTTAAGCTATAAAAACAAGAAACATAAACGCTTTCCTCCTGAATCAAAATATTTCTGTAAACGCTTAGTTACGCCTGATTGAGTAACATCCAGTGCTTTCTGTTCCTGGACTTAATTAAATCCAGTATTAGGAAACCAGAAATTTAAAGGTCAGAAGTGAAAACAGAAGAGAGCTTATCGAAGTTCTCCTTATATTTAAAAGGAAACGGAGAGATGGATCATGCTGTCTTCAATCTTCGTTTGACTTATCATGAAGGGGAGACTTTAATTCGAATTCTTATTTCTATTAATCTGTATGCTTCCCTTCTGTAAATCAAAAACATATAATATATATGGAAGCACGTAATTTACTTACTTTCTGTCCTGCTTTCGGCCTCTTTGGTTTAATTTTGATGTTGACTGCAGATGGAGGAACTGAAATAAATAAATTAAAAACAATTATCAACAAGGATGATAATAGTAACATTAAAGAATTTCAGTTATCATGAACTAACAATGATGACAAACAGCAAATAATTCATAAAGAATTTTGGCTATAGATGTTTATTTGTTTACCACGTTTAGAGATGTAAAGGTGTTGAAAACAATAAAATCCATAAACCTGAAGACGTAATGCACGTCGGTCTTTTAGGAGATGAAGTTCATGATTTATTATAATTAATTACTAAGACACAATAACACGCCGAACAAATACTAATTCAGAAGTCAAACAACAAAACTCAGCGTTATATTTTCAAATTTTCACAGGACTAATTTCGATGGTTTTACCGAACCACCAACCTCAACTGCGCGTCGCAAAAAGAAGCAAAAAACATCGCAAAAGCGCATCGTCATTTACACTTTTTCAGCTGAGGATGGTGGTTCAGTAAAACCATCGAATCTAGTCCCGTGAAAATTTGAAAATACAACGCTGATTTTTGTTGTTTGACTTCTGAATTAATTACTAGTTATTTACTTCCACAAGGCTCATCAACACCTCACGGTGAATCTATTACAAAACCTTCACTTTCATTTGCAATCGCATAGGTATCACAACTTCTTTAAAGAAAACTGCCAATTCAATTTCAAATTTATTATTATAGGTGCTGCTAAGTGGCAATATAACGAATCTGATAACAATAAATATGCAAAAAATACTGCAAAGAATATGTTATTTACAATTTTAGTTACACCGTAGCTGAAATAAGCTAATTTTTTCCTTCTAAACTAAAAAGGTAGAATACTATTATTTCATTTATCGAGCACAATAAGTAGAAAAGAATAAAAGTACAATAAGTAGATAACAGAATAATAAGTACAATAAATAGAAAAAGAATACAGTAAGTAGTAAAGACCTTTTGAAACTAGGAGAAAAAAATTCGGCTTAAAGCATCCTAATTACTTAAACATCACACACACAAAAAAAAAAAAAATGAATTGATGCAAAATGTGCACACATATGAAAAACCATCATAGTGAAAAACTTCGACTTCCTTTTTAAAAAGACAATATCTATACAGGCATAACATTATCTTCCTTCATCATTCACGAAGGAAGAAAAATAACTGTAACTTAAACAGCAGTGATTAAATGCGCTGTGATGGTCAAAGTTATCACACTGAAACTAATCTCGAGATTGTTTCAACTCATTTGGGAACTTACTTTCCATTAAAGAATGATCGACTAAAAGGTTCGTAATCATTTCTAACAACAATCAACATGAACAATTCAAATCAACATGAACAGCATTAACAAATTTCGTTGGCAATAACTTGTAGGGAATTTTATGTTTTATGTTCCGTTTTTCTCACCAGAATGCAAATGAGTAGCCAGTATTTAAATTGAAGTTTGAGGATTTTAATACAGAGCGTGGTTCGGACATCGCATGCGCGCTATGTGTTAGTTTCCTGCCAGCTCTGATTATTGAAATTATTCGGCTTTGCATTCTATCACTGCTGGCATTTAAAATCTAACGCTCCGTCTGGTACGTTTCAAGTCTAACGTTTCACGTCTGGTAGGAATACTGGACTAATTAGCATGACTTGAACAAGTGAAACCCTACAAAAATGCTCTATATTTATCGCATAATTCAGCTAAATGATCGCATAATTCAGTTAATCATAAATCATTCTTCAAAATGTAGACCTCAAATGGGCGTTCGCCCAGAAGGGTTATTAGTCTCATAATGGCATTTTGCGCCGAATCGCTTTAAATCTCTGAATCACTCTTCAAATCGTTGCCACCAAATATTAACGACCTGTATTATATATTTAAAGAAACTAAATAATGAAGAATATGCATGAATGTATGTATGTTCCTCGTACTGTGAGAAAACAGTGGTACCTACAGCCATCAAATTTTGAATATAAAAGACTTCCACCCGAACATGGGCACCTGGAAGCCTGAATTCGAAATTTGTTTTACGGTCTATTTCATGTTTTGTAAACCTTTAACGTATTTTTGATTAAAAACTCAGCAATTTCAAAGCGATCAGTGGCAACACTGTAGGGAATAAAACCTTTTTATCACCAGCGCGCGAGACTGTCTATCGGAAATTCTAATTATATGCTGTTTTTAAATATTTTTAGCTCAATGTGGCGTTAGCCCAAATGCTCTTGAAACGTGTACAAGACTGTAAAAGAAAAAAACGACTGTATGGGCGTAATATAAAATCTGAAAGCTTTTAGATTTTACTTTTTTATATTGTTCTTGATATTATTTTATCATTAAATCTAATACTTAAAGTTAAATAATCTTTAGCAAAACAGTCTTTTGTGAAAATTATATCTTAACTGTATTATTATCAGCATATATTATTTAAAATTAATCATATAATAACATTTGGATTTCGATGAATCGAAACTGAAAAGGCCAAAGAAAACAACCGAAATTCGAAAGCTTCGGTGAATTTTGCCTAATTACATCTAATATATTCTCTGCCTTTTGACAGATACGCACATAAAAGCGTACAGGAAAACAATCTAATAGTTCCCCTTCATTTACTTATCCACTGATGAAGGAAATTATTTTGTCGAATTATAAAATAGCATTAATAGCAGAACCTCATAAATGTTCATGGAATTATTGTGTTTTAGATTCGCTTGAAAATTATTTCTTTTAAATTCTTTCAGTTGTCACTTACAGTTTAAAGCACAGTTAGTTATAAGTTAAAAGATAGTACAATCTTTAATTACTTTAATATGGTGACAAAAGAAATATTTTTCTACTCAAACAGCGAAAATAATACATAATATATTTACAGTTTTAGCTATTTATTAAAAGCTAATTTCTTGTTTTCTTTTAATTATTAAGAAATAAAGGTTATATTTATTTAATAATTATTGGATACGAATTTTCAGTCGTTTTCGAAGCCAAAGCATGGACGCATGCATTGGACTTTAGTTTCATTATAATCACTGAGCTAAAATGATATAATTTGGAAGAATAAAAACACGGGAATTGAAAAATATGGTGTTGAACATAGAAACGGCATAGAAATTGAAAATCACATTTAAATCTAATTTCGACTTTACAATTTGGCATAAACTGAGAGCGACAAATTTCAAGGATAAATACCACTGCAAATGAAATTCAATTATACAATGAAAAATCCTTCATTTTCTTAATCTGAGATTCAAACTCTTTCTCTCTGTATATAACATAAGCTGTATGCAATGAGTATTTCATTTGCAGAGTGAGAATCAATGCAATCTAAATGAAGAAGGAACAAGTTACGAAGCAAACAAATAACTTCATGTGCGGCAAGGAAAAATCTAAAAGCCTTTGATATGCTGACATTGATTCACTTGAATGACTCTGTAATCCACCCAAAGATAACAGATAAGTCAATGCATAATTACAGCTACGTTCTGACACTTTTCTTGGGGGCAACGAGCGTTTTCCCGTCGCAAATAAAATACTGAATTCCTCTTCATTGATTAAATGCGAGGAGTTATGTTCCTTATTAATGAAGCAATTTTAATTACGAGGTCCGTGGATTTAGTGGGCTTTTCATTTAAATTGAATCGGTAATCAAACCAAGCGTTTGGATCTCTGATTAGTTTCTCTGTTTAATTACAAATACAAATTTCTTTTCAGTACGTAGCAAACAATTAAAAGATATGTCCCGATTCTTATTAATTAAATACTTTACAACAAAATTAATGAAATTTTTAATAATAATATTTAAGATAATTAGAAAAATAAGAAATATTAATTATCATTTATGTTGTTAAAATAACAGTGACTTAAATGCTGACTTATAAATTGGACAATAAAGACCAAATATTAGAAACTAAATCAAATTTTTCACAGCTTCAAATGCAGGTAAAACATAAATAATAAATGTATAATATAGTGCAATTTGAAAGAAATGAATTAAATATTAAAATAACTCTGTAGAAATACATTCAGAGCCACTTTCAATATTAATACAGGAAATGAACAGAGATATATCTAACAAAAATCCGTTTATTACTACAACATATTAACATAACTAAAGTAAGCAAATTACCAAACGAAATGCAGTTATTTTTACTTAGAAATGTAAAACAATTTCTCATTTCCAGACTGAAATGAAGATAACATAGTTTGGATGCTTCTTTATTAGTTTATATTATTTTTCCTGGTATCCGTTTGTATTTTATTCCTTTACTCTGGTGGGTTAAAGAAAACTGATTTTAAAATATTTACGAAAAAATTGATACTTGTGTCGAAGACAGGATTCTTTTAAGGTAAAAAACGCAAGAATTTGCAGTGAACATTTCCTATGCAGTGTTTGTGAACATGTCATGAAAAATCACTTCCTTGGATTGCCTCAAAAGAAACTATTAAAATCCAATACTGTGCCAAGAAAGAAAAATAATGCAGAGTTCCTTTGAAAGAATACAGGTTTTACATTTTAAGAAAAAAAATCTGAAAGCTTTCAGATTTTATATTTCGTCCAAAGAGGCGTTCTTTTTTTAACGTTTTGCGTGTTACCTTTATTTATTAAATATCATGTTCTTCACACTTACACCATAAAATTCAATTCAATTGCGGTGTCACAAAATATTTAAAAAGAGAATATCTTAAGACTTTCCCATACACAGTCTCTCGTGTTGAAGATATTTTTTTTTTTTTTTTTTTTTTTTGTGTGTGTGTGTGTGTGTGTGTGTGTACAGTGTTGTCACGGTTCGCTTTGAAATCGTAGAATTGTTAATCCAAAATTTGTTAAAGGTTAACAAAATGTAAAAATAAAATTCCAAATTTGGACTTCCAGACGCCTATATTCGAGTGGAGGACTACGTTATTCATAATATGATGGCTCTGGGTACCGTTATTTTTTCCCAATGCGGAAAACATACATATATGCATCCACATTCCTTATTATTTAATTTCTTTAAATATAATGAAGGCCCTAATATTTGGTGCCAACAATTTGAAAAGTGAAACGT